GACGGGACCGCGAGGGGACGCCTGATCGCGCAGTCGCACGTTATTTCGCTGCGGGGCAAACAGCCACGCCTCCCCCCCGCGATATCCGGCCCGTGTGACCGGGGCTTATATTTACTTTGTCGAGTTGCAGCAACCTTATGGAACCCCCATAGGGTTTTCAGGACAAGAGATGTTCCAGAGGTGTTTTGCCGTTGCCTGCCTCAGCATAGTGACCCTGGTATTCCTTGGTGGTCTTCCGTCCAACTACTAACCAGAACCGGCCCTGCTTAGCTTCCAGGATCTAACAAGATCAGGTTAGCTTGGGTGTTCCAGGTCAGGGCCAGAAACCTTTCAGTGTCCATTTAAAACCGCAGTTCTGTGGGTCAATCTAGACAAGACACTGGAAGATCTAGAAACAGATCTACTGAATGGGGGAAATTAATGATAAAAATGAAGCGGGCAGCTAAAATCACAGCTGAGGTGGGAACTTAGGGGTTTTAATTCTTAATGTACATCTGAATGTTTGACTTGAGCCCCACATTTATCCCAGAACTGGCCCCCGGTTTCATTTATAAAGTGAACACATATCGGCTCTTTCTTATAAACAGATGTACACACATACATGTAGGCAGGGCTTTTATTGTAGAAAAAGCCCAGCAGGAACTCATTAGCATAATAGGCCACACCCAATGGCAGAAATCATTAGCATATTAGGCCACACCCCTGACAGCACAGCTCATTAGCACATTAGGCCGCACCTCCATGTTACCAGAAGTGTGCTCGTCCAGCCACACCCACCTTTTGCTTCTTATTCTGTTTACCTTGTTTGAATCAGGGCTCTTTTTGTAGCAGGAACTCCTTTGCATGTTAGGCCACACACCCCTAATGTAGCCAATCCTAATGAGTGTCTGCTGTTAGGTGTAGCCTATTATGCTAATGAGTTCCTGCTGGGCGTGGCCAACTCAGGAGCCAGCCGGAACTCCGTTCCTGTGCGTTCCTGCCCCAAAATAGCCCTGCTGTCCATTCGCTGTTAACATGTGGTAGACGGGCTCATGTTGTTCAGGAGCCTGCAGGATGAGTGCAACAGCTAGCAGCAATAACTATTAGGGGCAGAGAAGCACATTATAATTCACTTGCTGTTTATGCAGAGGGCAAATCCCCAGGTGAACACTATTGATGCTAGTTTGTGATAACAATCGATCCAGGCACACAACAAATTCTTCCTCCTCCTCCTCCCCTGGAATGAGCATTTCTTACTGCCCTCTCCATCCTCCACAGACCTGTTGTTCCTAACCGGCTTGGCCTCCTCTGTTTTCATCCTATCGGAACTCGTCAAAGTGTGCGAGAGGTTTTGCTGCCGGACAAAGACGGACAAGGACCAAGAAGTGACCGTGTGACCGAGACATGCCACGCCATTTCTGCTACGTTTGGGATGCCATTGGAATGAAATTGGGTGGTTGCAGGATTCACATGGGACCCATCAAACCTACTATTCCTTTTTCACATTTTGGATCATTTTCAAGTGACTGCAGATCGACAGGGCCTTCGTTGTCCCGAAGAGTAATTAAAACTCGCTATGAAGGGCTTTCCTGAGCCACCGATTGTCATCTCCTAGAAGGCAAAGGAACGGGGCACATGGAAACAGAACGCAGGGCACTGTCCTCATCCACTTATTTATTTAAGTTGCAATGAACCTTTTTGCTAACAAAACATGTCTCTTTATAAAGGCAGCGTACGAAAGATGCCAGACCAGCGTGTGTTTTGTCCAAATGGGCAGCTCTTTAACCGTGCAGTTGAGTTACTATTGGGAAAATTCAGACAAGTACAGCATTAAGACAGAAGTGAGAGACAAGAAGCCAGTTTGGTGCAGTGGTTAGGAGCATGGACTTCTTCTAGAAGAGATCCCAGAAAAGTCAAAAAGAACTGCAGCCATTCCGTGGGTGGGGCTCACGCTGGCTGTCTAATAAGGCACACAAATACGGTGAACAGAACAAGGCATTGCAGGAGAGAGAACATTACAGGAAGGATCCAGAAACATTTATTCATTCAGCAGTGCCTGGATTCTGAAACACTATTGTTATATAAAACGATTCAGAGGAGATGTGAAAATGCGATTAGCACCATAACAGGATTTCCAATCTAATCCTCAACGCTTCAAGTTCCACACAAAAAAAGTTTCTGCTTCTCTCAGGCACATAGTATCCCTGCGTGTGTTGCCAACCTCCAGGTGGGGCCTGGAGATCCCCGAGATTTATAGCTGATTTCCAGATGATATTTGTTCACCTGGAGAAAATGTCTATTTTGGAGTGCAGACTTTATGGCATTATACCCTGCAAAGGTCCCTCCCCTCCCCAAGCCCCACCCCCAAATCTCCAGGTATTTCCCAACCAATTGGCAAGCCCACATCCCACCCTTTCTCTAAGCGGCTGAGGGTGGTGGACATTTTTCTCCCCTCCAGCATTTTATCCTCCAGCCCTGTGAGCTAGGCCAGGCTGAGAGAGAGGGGACTAGCCCAAAGTCACCCCATGAGCATTATGGCTAAGGGGAGACTTGAACCCAGGTCTTGCCTGACCTAGTATGTCACTCAGTCCCAGTCCACCACAAGACACAGACAAGCTCAGAAAACTATTATTGTGGGGAACGCACACAAAGAGAGAGTATGTACCTGGCTCTAAGGCCCATGCCAAATAGGACGATCTATGCAACCATGATTTCGCCCGGGCTAAAAACACACCTGGAGCAATGCTCCCTCTAAGGTGTGGAGACTTGTGAGCAAAAAATTCTACTTGGGTGAGCTACTGGCATTCAAGTGGTGAGCGAGCGATTTGGCTCCTGCATAAATGAGCTTGCTCTGGAGACATCCTTCCTGAGCTGAGACAAAAACGTGTGAGCCGGAGGCTAGAAAGCTGTGAGCTAGCTCACACTCACTCAGCTTAGAGGGAACACTGACCTGGAGGCTGGCACCTCACTAAAGGAAAACAAACATCAAAGGCACGTGCGTGTGCCCGCTCACAGTCGACTCCTTAGAAATAAAGGTCAAATGATAAAAAGGCAGGAAACGGTACTGTGATGCCACCGGAGTTGATTGGAAGGAGATCAAAAGACACATCTGTCACTCCGCCCACGTTTAAACTCCGCTTCCTACCCTTGGGGAAGCTGGCAATAAAACTCCCCTCCTCCTTCGTTCAAAACGGAGCAGGTCTTTGATCTTCCTTCTTTTGTTCTCCACTCGAGGCTAAAGGAACCCGACTTGACTTGCTGGGGGGGGGGGGCACTCGTCCCTCTGCCTGGCCCACAAGTGTCTGATGGGAAACTCCTTATCGCTCTATCTGCCTCCCTTCACTGCCCATTTGAAAACCAGGCGGGAGCCTTCCTCCAGAGGCTCCTTCCTGCCTTTAATCTTCCCACTTTGTTGCAGTGATGCCCAACGGGGCCCACTTGCTTCTCCTCCAAAGCATCTCACCTGTAAAGTGAACATCCTAGATGTTCTCCACCTCCTTGCAGGAGGTACTGAAGAAGAGGCTAGTGCGTGATAACCTTCGGGCCTACGGGGAGCAGCTACCTCTGCCGTGGAAGGATGCCTGGCCTGGAACCGGCCAACATTGGGGGATGGCCCCTCCCCCTCACACAGCAACCACGTTGTGACTGACCAGGGGTCATTTTGTAGAAAAAGAGCTAGGAGAACACATTAGCATAACTCATTAGCATATGCCACACCCCCTGACATCACCGGAAGTGTGTCATAAGGCCACACACCTTGCCCCCAACGGTCCCGGCCGCCGCTACCGGCCTTGCAGCTCCCGGCGGTGGACCTTCAAGGCCGGCAGGAGTGCAAGGAAGCCCCGTGAAGGCCCTCCCTGGCCCCAGGCAGGCAGGGGTGGGGAGAGGCAGGGAGGAAGCAACTTTCCTGCCTCCTCCTGGCTGAATGAGGGCCGGAAGCGGGGTGGCCGGGAGAAGGGGGCAGGGCTTCGTCATGTGCCCCCACCGTACCTCACCCGGGGAACTGCGATCCCCCGCGATCCCCCCCCGAAATGACCTCTATGACTAACCCTCTGTCTTCTACGGCAGCCGTTTTGTGGTCATCTCTCAAAATTCCCGAAGCACCCACTGGCACAACAAGATTGTAATAGTTGCCTAAAAAAGATTGCGATCGTTAATGTACAAAGTCGGTTTCGTGAGACTGTCTGGGGGTGAAGGGAAGCCCTTTTCGAGAAGCATCTCCCATGGTGGGGTGATGATGGTGGAATGGGTACAGCTTTAAGTGGGGGGACACAGTTCTTTTACATGCCCTCTCTGGTATCAAGAAAGGTCACAGGCAACGAGACTCGCGCATAACACAAATAAAGATGCCAACCGGAATAGATAGATTAGCTAGATACACCACAGAGTAGCTACTTTAGCTACTTTAACTAGCTACTTTAAACATAGGATTATAATTTTCTCCTCTTTTCTTCTGTTTTTTTTTTTCTGGCTTGGATTTGTGGTGGGATGTGCCATCAAACTTCAGCTGACTTATGGCGACCCTGTGGGGTTTTTAAGCCAAGAGACGTTCAGAGGTGGATTTGCCCTTGCCTGCCTCTGCGTAGCAACCCTGGACTTCCTTGTTGGTCTCCCACCCAAGTACTAAGCAGGGCCGACCCTGCTTAGCTTCTGAGATCAGGTTAGCCTGGGCCATCCAGGTCAAAGCAAGAGACATTCAGAGGTGGTTTGCCTTTCTTTAAGTGGGGGGACACAGTTCTTTTACATGCCCTCTCTGGTATCAAGAAAGGTCACAGGCAACGAGACTCGGGCATAACACAAATATGGATGCCAACCGGAATAGATAAATTAGCCAGATACACCACAGAGTATAAACTAGCTAATTTAAACATAGAATTATAATTCTCTCTTCTTTTTTCCTGGCTTGGACTTGTGGTGGGATGTGCCGTCAAGCTTCAGCCGACTTATGGCGACCCCGTGGGGTTTTTAAGCCAAGAGACGTTCAGAGGTGGTTTGCCATTCCCTGCCTCTGCGTAGCGACCCTGGGCTTCCTTGTTGGTCTCCCATCCAAGTACTAACCAGGGCCGACCCTGCTTAGCTCCTGAGATCAGGTTAGCCTGGGCCATCCAGGTCAAAGCAAGAGACATTCAGAGGGGGTTTGCCACTGCCTAGGTAAAGGTAAAGGTTCCCTTGCTCAAAAGCCAGTCGAGTCCGACTCTAGGGTTGTGGTGCTCATCTCCGTTTCAAAGCCGAGGAGCCAGCGCTGTCCGAAGACTTTTCCGTGGTCATGTGGCCAGCATGACTAAACACCAAGGCGCACGGAACGCTGTTACCTTCCCACCGAAGTGGTACCTATTTATCTACTTGCAATTTCTTGCTTTCGAACT